CGGACGAATGACCGGACGAATGACGAATGACCGGGATCGCCATTTTGGACAACCGGAGCAAAGCCCCGATCCTATTAGGAGACCCGCGCTCCAGCGGGGGCCTCATTCTGGAAGGAGCGACGCCTTCCAGACGGAAGGTCACTTCAGACTCACCCCGTGGAACAGAGATCAATACGCCGAGGGAGCGCCTGACTCTCTCAGGCCGTCTTCGGGCGAGAGCGGATCTGCTGCGCAGCCGTGGAGGAAGACGAGGAAGAGGAAACGAGAGAGAAGGAGAGGAGTTTTGCACCAAGGGCTCGGGTGAGCTGAGAGAGGAAAAGAGGACAAGGAGAAGGAGGAGAAGGAGCAGGAAGAGAGAATTCTAGACGCTTCGCGTATCCCCACCAGCCCGTCCAGAAATGAGCCCCAGGGGAGTGGAGGTGATGAGGGAAGCGGGGGAGCATGCAGAAGAACAAAGAGCGGGTTGAGCCGCCATACGCCCCAAGAGGGGGAGGATGTAGGAGGAGTCGTCGTCGTCGGAGTAGGAGGAGGAAGACGAGGAGCAGGAGGAGGAGCAGGAGGAGGAGGGGGAGGAGGAGGAGGAGGAGGAGGAGGAGGAAGATGAGGAGGAGGAGATGGAGGAGGGCGAGGACGAGGGGGACGAGAAGGAGGAAAAGGAAAAGGAGGAGGAGGAGGAGGAGGAGGAGGGGGAGGGGGAGGAGGGAGGAGGAAGAAAAAGAGGAGGAGGAGGAGGACAATGGCGAGCTTGGGGGCCTCTTGGGCCGTCTTTGGAGCCTCTTGGCGGTCCCGGGGGCCTCTTGCGTATCTCGGGGAGCCTCTTGTGGCCTCTTGGGGGTCTCTTGGGGGCCTCTTGGAGGCCTCTTGGGGGCCTCTTGGGGCCTCTTGGGGCTCTCTTGGGGCGCTCTTGGGGCGCTCTTGGGAGCTTTCGAGGCGCTCTTGGGGCCATCTTGGAGGAGATCTATCAAAGAAGGGGGGGTCCTCAATTAGCGCTGCCCCTCTAGAGTGCCTCGAATCGCTTCTTGGGCCCTTCTTGAGGCCAAAATCTTTCCAAAACCTAGGTAAAATCAATGTTTTGTGTTTTCTCGCCTTTTCGCTCTTGGAGCCGTCTTGGGCCGTCTTGGGAGCCTCTTGGGCCTCTTGGGGGTCTCTTGGGAGCCTTTTGGAGGCCTCTTGGGCGCCTCTTGGGGCCTCTTGGGGCGCTCTTGGGGCGCTCTTGGGGCGCTCTTGGGAGCCTTCGGGGCGCTCTTGGGGCCATCTTGGAGGAGATCGATCAAAGAAGAGGGGGTCCCCAATTAGCGTTGCCCCTCTAGAGTGCCTCGAGTCGCCTCTTGGGCCCCCCAAGAGGCCAAAATCCTTCCAAAACCTAGGTAAAATCATTGTTTGTTGCTTTCTCGCCTTTTCGCTCTTGGAGCCGTCTTGGGCCATCTTGAACTCTCTTGGGGCCTCTTGGGGGTCTCTTGGCAGCCTCTTAGAGGCTTCTTGGGGGCCTCTTGGGGTCTCTCGGGGCCCTCTTGGGGCGCTCTTGGGGCGCTCTTGGGAGCCTTCGGGGCGCTCTTGGGGCCATCTTGGAGGAGATCTATCAAAGAAGGGGGGAGCTCCAATTAGGGTTGCCCCTCTAGAGTGCCTCGAAGCGCCTCTTGGGCCCCCCAAGAGGCCAAAATCCTTCCAAAACCTAGGTAGAATCAATGTTTTGTGCTTTCTCGCTTTTTCGCTCTTGGAGCCGTCTTGAGCCATCTTGGGCGCCCTGACACCTCGCGAGACGCCTCGTCCAGGTCAGTGGGGAGGGGTAAGGGGAGGGGTAAACCCCTCCCCGAAGGGAAAGAAGGGGGGTTGGCAGAGGAAACGCTCTAGACCACCTACGCCCTAAAGGGCTGGTGGGATTACCTGTGTAAACCGAAGACGCACCAACGACATTGCAATACACTATCCCTGCACGCTTCCTCTTCATAAGGCTCATCCAAGAATTTATGTTCATCACTGGAAGTGCCCCATTGAGAGACAACCGTATGGGAACCTTCAGTTCTGCCAACACGCAAGTCCTGGGACTTCCACGACGCGAATCAACGTGATTTTTGCGCCCTGGAATTCCGAAGTCCTGCCAGGATACCGTTCCTCGCACTGCAGCCACCATGAATCAACGTGACGCCTGCGTCCTGACACGCCGAGATCGTACCAGAACGCCGTACCTGCGACGAATGTGCACGGCGGCAAGGCGAGAGCCACAATTTTAAAGGAACTGGCTTCCATCCTTGAAGCAACTGATGAATGTTGAGACGAATGCGCGGGGCGCTAACGCGAGAGGCACATTTTGAAAACTGCGCTCCATCTTTGGAATTCCTCCAGACTTCAAGCTCCAGGACCCGCAGTTGCGAAGAAATTCCTATGCGAAACGCCCGGCTCGGCCTGCCGACACGCCTGCGGGGGGCGACAGGGAGAAGTCACTATACGGGAAGATGATCGAGGAGGAGAGGAGGAGGAGGAGGAGGAGGAGGAGGAGGAGGAGCAGGAGGAGGAGGAGGAGGAGGAGGGCGAGGCGACTGCCCGCGGCGCGCAGCTGGGCGCGCGGGCCGTGCCCGCGGACGCGGGGGCCCGCGGAGACGGGCTGCGGCGAGGGGGGGGGGAGGAGGACCAGAGCAGACCCAAAGCGCATCACCGGTGTTGCAATGTACCCTCCGTCCACGCTCCCTCTTCACAGGCCCCCGCAAGAATCTGGCTTCACTGCCGGAAGTGCCCCGTTGGAAGACAACCGTTTGAGAAGCATCCATCGTACCAAAGCACAAACTTCTTGGAACTCAACCCCGCGATTCAACTTGAAGATGGCGTTCTGACGATTCCGCGTGGTGCCGGACCGCAATGTTTCTGGGACGTTAACGCCGCTAATCCATGTGACTGTTGTGCCCTGGCTGTCCGATTGCATGCCGGAGCACCAGAACACCATTAAACAGTAGTTGTTATCGCTTGAGGCGAAGGTGCACGGCGCCAAGACGAGAGCCACGCTCTGAAAAGGGGTCGCCCTCCAGCCGTGCAGATCTTGCACACTTCGAAGACCAATGCGCTCGGCGCTCCGGTGAGAGCGACATGGTCAACACCACGCACCCTCCGTTCGTGAAGTTGTTTGCACACTGTTAAGACGAGGGTGCGCGGCGCTATGGTGAGAGCCTTAATTTGAACGCCACCCTCTCTCCACGCGTGGAGCTTCTGCAAGTTGCCCAGGCGAGTGCACGAGGCGCTAAGGCGACATTTGCACTTCGAAAACGATCCACCCTCCCTCCATGAAGCTCCTGCAGACTTGACGAAAGTGCGCAGCGCTGAGGCGAGAGTCACACACTGAAACGGAGCCGCCCTGCACCTGGGAAACATGTTGCGCATATAAAACGACGAGTGTGCGCATCTCTTATGCGAGAGCCACACATTGAAAAAGGAACCGTCCTCCATCCGTGAAGCTCCTCCACACTTTCAACACGAATGTGCTCGGCGCCAAGGCGAGAGCCATATTCTGAAAGCCACCCGCCCTCCATCCGTAAAGCTGTCGCAGATGTTTGCGACGAATGTGCGCAGCGCTCAGACGAAAGCCACATCTTGGAAACCAATTACCCTCCGTCCGTGAAGCTTTTTTTTTGCAAACTGTTCAGATGAATCTGCGCGGCGCTCAGGCGAGCGCCACACTTGAAAATAATATCCCCTCCATCCGTGAAGTTCCGGCAAACTTCTAGGATGAATGTGCGTGGCGCTGAGACTCCATCCGTGAAATTCTTGCAAACTGTTCAAGACGAGTGTGCTCAACGCTCTTGTAAGAGGCGCAGTTTGAAAACGACCCGCCCTCCATCCATGAAGCTGTTGCAAGTCTCAACATTCAGGACAAAGAGGGACGAAGTAGTCGTAGGCGAAACGCCCGGCCCGCCCTACTGACACGTCTCGGGATGCGACGGGGAAAAGTAATTTCTAAGCAGCAGGCATGAGGGAGGAGGAGGAGGAGGAGAAGGAGGAAAAGGAGGAGGAAGAAGGGCGGAGGAGCGCGCACGTGGCTTTGGCGAGCGTGATCTGGTCGGCTTGGACAAAGAAGCCGCACGAGCCTCCTGGCGGGCCTGGGGAAGCAGGGCCTGTGAGGCGGGCGTTGGGAACCAGGGCCTAAGACACGGGGGAACAGGGATGGAGGAGGAGAGAGGCGGATGTGAGAGGACCAGACAGGAGGAGAGAAGGGATCCGCCGCCGCGACCGCGCCCGCGGCAGCCGCGCGCCCGCGAGGCCGACCCCACGGCGCGCAAGGCCCCCGCGGCCGCGGCCGCGAAGCCCCCCGCCGCGCGCCCCGCGCCGGCCGCGGAGGGCGCGGCCGCCTGACCGGCGCCCTGGAGGGGCGCGCCCCGCGCGAGCATCGGGAGTGGGGGATTCTGGTGGTGGTGATGCCTACCAGGATTCTGATGGTGACGATGAGGACGACGTCTCATGGTTGTGATCGTGGTTGCCACGAAGGTGGAGATGGTGGTTGGTGGTGATCGAATGATGGTGAGGAGGGGGGAGGAGGAGGGGAGGACGAGGAGGAGGAGGAGGAGGATTGGGAGGAAGGAGGAGGAAGGGGAAAGAGGAGGAGGAGGGCAGGAGGAGGTTGAGGATGAGGATGAGAGGAGGAGAGGAGGCGGAGGAGGAAGAGGGGGGGAGGAGGAGGAGGAGGAGGAGGAGGAGGAGGGGAGGGGAGGAGGAAATAGGAGGAGGGTGGATGAGCGGGGGAGGAGGAGGAGGAGGAGGAGGAGGGGAAGGAGGAGGAGGAGTACTAATGATAATAATAAGAAGAAGGAGACGAATAAGATAAGAATAATAATACTGCGAAGAACAGCAATGATACTACTAATAATAATAATACTAATACTAATGATAAGAATAATAATACTAATAATGATAATAATGGTAATAATAATAATGATAATAATATTAATAATAATAATAATACTAATAATAATAATAATAATAATAACAACAATACTAATAATAGTATTAGTAATAATACTAATGATATAATAATAATAATAATACTAATAGTAATAAAAATGATAATGATAATAATATAAAGAATACGAATACTAGAACGAATAAGAATAATGATAAGAATAATAATAATAAGAAGAAGAACAATAATAATAATAAGAGGAGGATGAGGAGGAGGACGGGGAGGAGGAGGAGAAGGGCGGAGAGGAGGAGGGCGGAGGAGGAGAGGGAGGATGAGGTGGAGGAGCAGGAGGAGGGAGGAGGGGGAGGAGGAGGAGAGGAGGAGGAGGAGGAGGAGGAGAGGAGGAGGAGGCGGAGGAGAGGAGGACGAGGGGAGAAGAGGAGGAGGAAGAATACGAAGAAGAAGAAGCGGAGAGGAGGGAGGAGGAGAAGAGAGGGCGGAGGAGGCGGAGGAGAGGAGGAGCACGGAGTGGGAGGGAGAGGAGGGAGGGGGAGGAGGAGGAGGAGGAGGTAGGAGGAGGAGGAGGAGGAGGAGGAAGAGGAGGAGGAATAGGAGGAGGGGAAGAGGAGGAGGAGGAGGAGGAGGAGTGAGGAGGAGGAGGAGGAGGACGAGGAAGAAGATTTTGGAGGAGGAGGGAGGCGGAGGAGGGAGGAGGGAGGAGGGCGGAGGGAGGAGGGAGGAGGCGGAGGAGGAGGAGGAGGAGGAGGAAAAGGAGAGGAGGCGGAGGAGGAGGAGACGGAGGAGGAGGAGGAGGAGGGAGGAGGAGAGGAGGAGGATCTGAGGTGATGATGAGGACGACGTTCATGATCGTGATCGTGGTTGCCACGAGGGTGGAGATGTGGTGGTGGTGATCGGATGAGTGGGAGGAGGGGGGAGGAGGAGGGGGAGGACGAGGAGGAGAGGAGGAGGAGGGGAGTGGGAGGAGGAGGAGGAGGGGAGGAAGAGGAGGAGGAGGCGCAGGAGGAGGATGAGAGGAGGAGGAGGAGGAGGCGGAGGAGGAAGAGGAGGGGGAGGAGGAGGAGGAGGAGGAGGAGGAGGAGGAGGAGAGGAATAGGAGGAGGGTGGATGATAGGAGGGGGAGGAGGAGGAGGAGGAGGAGGAGGAGGAGGAGGAGGAGGAGGAGGAGGAGGAATAATACTGATAATAATAAGAAGAAGGAGACGAATAAGATAAGAATAGTAAGAATGCGAAGAACAATGATAATAATACTGATAATAATAATAATAATAATAATCATTTCAAATAATAATAATAATAATAAGAATAATAATAATAATGATATTAATAATAGTAATGCGAATAATAATCATACTAAGAATAATAAGAATCATAATAAGAATACTAATACTAATACTACTGATAATAATAATAACAAGAATAATAAGAATCATAATAATGATAATACTACTACTAATAATACTAATAAAAATAAAAATAATAATAATAATACGAATAATAATAATAATATAAAGAATGAGATTACTAGTGCGAATAATAATAATAATAATAAGAAGAAGAAGAGGAGGATGAGGAGGAGGACGGGGAGGGAGGAGGCAGGAGGAGGAGGAGGAGAAGGGCGGAGGAGGAGGAGGAGGAGGGGAGGAGGAGGAGGTGGAGGAGAGGAGGGAGGGGAGGAGGAGGAGGAGGAGGAGGAGGCGGAGGAGGAGGAGGACGAGGAAGGAAGAGGAGGAGGAAGATAGAAAGGAGGAGGAGGAGGCGGAGGCGGAGGAAGAGGAGGGGGGAGGCGGCGGAGAGGAGGAGGAGGAGGCGTGAGGGCGGAGGGAGGAAGGAGGAGGGGGTAGGAGGAGGAAGTTGGAGGAGGAGGAGGAGGAGGAGGAGGAAAGAGGAGGAGGAAGAGGAGGGGAATAGGAGGGAGGGGAAGAGGAGAGGATGAGGAGGAGGAGGAGGAGGAGAGAGGAGGAGGGAGGAGGGAGGAGGGAGGAGGGAGGAGGAGGAGGAGGAGGAGGAGGAGGAGGAGGAGGAGGAGGAGGAGGAGGAGGAGGAGGAGGAGGAGGAGGAGGAGGAGGAGGATGGGGAGCAAGCGGGGGCTGGTAGCAGGAGTAGGGGGAGGGGGAAACCATGCGAGATCGCCGCTTGTCGCCACTCCTCAGCTCACTGCCACCCCGTGGCCGCTGTGACCCCCGCCCTCGCTCCGTGCCGCGGCACCCTGCGCCGCGAGAAGGCGCCAGGGGTGCCGGGGGCCCGCGGCCTGCGCGCGCGCAGCGCCCCTCTCGCCAAGGCAGCGTGACTCTCGGCGGGGAAACGGTGCGCGCGCGCGGGGGGGGGCCCGCCCAGGCCCTGGCGCTGCTCGCCTGTCGGGCGTTGCGTCATGGGCGGCGGTAAGTGGCAGCCACGCGCAGAAGGGGGGTAGTGGGAGGGGGGAAGGCTTCTTAGAAGCACCCTGCCTCTTAGAAGGCGCGGGCCTTGTCGGTAGATATAGGGCCCGCGCCTTCTAAGAAGCAGCATCCTTCTAATAAGTCTCCCCCCTCCCTCTACCCCCTGTGTGAGCGCCGCCAACTGGCGCTGCTCGCCTGTCGGGCGTTGCGTCATAGGTGGCGATCGGTGGGAGGGGGTGAAGAAGGGTGTACCCATTGTGCAACATAGGGGCCCTAAAGGGCTCCCCCTAGGGCCCAAACGGGGCACGAAATGTATACGTTTCTTGCCCCCTCGCTTACGGTAGGGGCATTCGTCCAGGAATATGCCCAGGAGGCTTCAGACCCCGAACGATTCCTACTTCATGAGGACGGGAGATATCCATGGCCAACCCGCGATCGGAGTTCGACCGGCTTCCAAACCCTGGATTCCTCATCCAGTGGTTTCTTATCCAACGTGCTGACCTCATCGCCTCCCAGGCATACCGCCCACCCCCGTTAAGCAAAGCTATGGAGGGGAAAAATACACAGACGTATCGAATTGTCGATGCCCAGGAAAAGAAGGGGAAAATATGGACAGCGGGGGGGAACGATGAGAACCCGGAAAGACTGAAAAAAGATGGGGAGTTTGGGGAGTTGCGTATATTTGTTTTTTGTGCCCCTGGGCCACTTCGAAAGCCCCTAAGCCTGGCCTCCCCCTGCCCATGGCCGCCTCGCGGCAGCGCGGGGCCTCTCCGCCCTGACACGGCCGCGCGGAAAGGGCGCTCCGGGGCGGGCCTGCATGGGGCCTGCCAGGGACTAGGCCTCCCGCAGGGGGTCCGAGCAGAGGGCCCAGAGATCCAACGCATTAAAAAAAAATCAAGACTCTTGGTTTGCCTGGCGAGTCTTGGGGTGCTCTTGGTTTGCCTGGCGAGTCTTTCAATCACATGGCGGCTGAGGTTGTGTAAGTGCTACACAAGTCATTTGCTTGAGGAAAAAAATCAAGACGGAGGTTTTTTCTCAGTCTTCGGCCTCTAGGGGCCTTCGCGGGGCCCCAGGACCGTCAAGACCGGTTCAGGATGAGAAACCGGTCCCGGGGAATGGGTCGAGACTTCTGGGGGTCCCGCACTGAAAAAAATCACGACATCGGATCTCTGGGGGGCTCAGAGGATCGCGCCGCGTCGCCGAGGCATCGGCGGTGCGGCTCGCTGTGGGGGCGCAGGATCGAGGATCGAAGAGGACGTGTCATCCCCAGGGTCGAAGGAGCTGCCATCTCGAGGGGGCCTCGCCGTCGAGGGCCGAAGGAGTCGGCATCCCTCTCCCCGGCGGAGGGCGGCGGAAGCCAAGCGAGGCCGCCTCCTCCGGCGGAAGCTCGGCGGAGGGCCGACGGAAGTAAGCATCTGCCTCCCAGGAGATGGCCGGGTTTGGTTGTCCCGGGTTTACGGAGCCCGCCACGTGGAGCCGGATAGCTCTCCGCGCCGGCGGCGCCGATGCATTGCCGACATCGCCGTCACGTCCCCGATGCATTGCTGATGCAGCGTGGTCCTCGGACCCGTCCTGCTCGGGGGAGGGTGTCGGGCCGGACGAAAGGGGGGGATTGGGAAAGGGGGGGTACGAAATTTGCTGCATGCAGCTGGTTTCGGCCCCACCGAGGGGCCCATTCCTCGATACATGGGCGCCTCCCGGCGCCGGGAGGCGCCGGGAAAATCAGCTACGTGAGCTGATTCTCAAACCCCCCTTTGCTATCATCCCCTTTCGCCCGACCCGAGGGTGGGAGGGCAAAGGGGGCGTGCTCCCTGGCAGCTCGAAGGTCTGCGGGGCACGCGTGCGCCCCCGAGGGCCCTCCGTGCTCACAGCGGCCTCGTGGAGGGGGGGGGAGCGACCAGGGCCCAGCGTGAAGTCGGGCCTGTCCCGCCACAGGAGAAATGTTCAAGGTCTGGGGATGACTCTTCGATGATTTGTTGGGCAATGTTTGATCATACACGTATAACGGCGCACCGGGTCCGGGCGCCCGGGGCCGGCGCCGCTACCACAAATGTGGGCTCGGGAGCCCCGGGGCCTCACAGAAAGCCGCCGGAAGGCGCCAAGGAGGCCCCATGAGGCTCCAGAACAGACCCGGGACGCCCGAAGGTCGCTCCCAGACGCCCAACATGGCCTCCAAAGCGGCTTCAGAAGCCCCCAAGACACCCCAAGCGACCCCCAATAGGGCCCCAAAGAGAGCCCCAAGGGGCCAAGATAGCCCCATTCCCTATGTAAAAAGGGGATGTTGTATCATCTTGCTTGTTTTCGCTGTCGGTCCGTGCTTGACGACCTCAGAAGCTCCCAAGACCGCCCCAATCGGCCCAGGACGCGCCCCAGAGGGCCCCAATACAGCCCCAGAAAGCTCCAGGACGGCCCACGAAGGGCCCAAGACGGCCCAAGAGAGTCCCCAAGACGGGCCCGAGAGGGCCCCAGAGGAGGAAAGCAACCATCGAATTCCAAGCTTTCGACCCCAAGTGGCTCCAGGAGGCGCCGAGAAGCCCCCAAGAAGCGCCCGGAAGGCTCCCAAAAGCACCCCAAGACGCCCCAAGAGGCACCCCAAGAGAGCTCCAAGAAGCAAAAAGTCGTCCCATTCCTGTGGGGAAACGTATATTTTTCGCATGTTCGCCTGTTGGGCTGTCATCGCGTCCAAGACGGCCCAAGGGGTTCCCAAAACGGCCTAGGAGGCCCCCAAAAGAGCTCCAAGACGGGCCACGAGAAGCCCAGGACGGCCCAATGGGCCCCCAAGACGGCCCAATAGAGCCCCAAGACGCGCCCGAGAGGAGTCCCAGAGAAAGAAAGCCACTCTCGAATTCCAAGCTTTCGGCCCCAAGAGATCCCAGGAGGCGCCGATACGCCCCCAAGAGGCCCCAAGCAGGCCCCCCAAAGCACCCCAAGATGCTCCAAGAGGCACCCCAAGAGAGCCCCAAGCAACTAAAATCCTTCCATTCCTATGGGAAAACGAATATGTTTCGCATGCTCGCCTCTTGGGCTGTCACCGCGTCCAAGACGGCCCAAGAGGCCCCCCAAAACGGCCTAGGAGTCCCCCAAGAAATCTCCAAGACGGCCAACGAGGAACGCAGGACGGCCCAATGGGCCCCCAAGACGGCCCAAGAGAAGCCCAAGAAGCGCCCGAGAGGGGTCCCAGAAGAAGACAGCCACTTTCGATTTCCGAGCTTTCGGTCCCAAGAGCCCCCAGGAGGCGCCGATAGGCCCCCCAGAGGTCCCAAGAGGCCCCCCAAAGCACCCCAAGACGCACCCAGGAGGCCTCCAAGAGGCCCCCAAGAGGCTCATAATTTGATTTTAATGCGCCGTCGAGAGAGGCATCCAAGATGCCATGCGAACCTTCTCTCTGATGCCGTAGGTGGATCTTCTTGTGGGCCAAGACCCGTGTCAGGGGTGTGCCGACTCGGGTGGATCGGATGCGAACATTGCCGGGGGCCGTCGGTTGAAGTCTATCAAGTTTAGCTAGAACTTGAGCGCGCGCGAAGCGCGCGCGCGATGGTTCTAGTTATCTGACTATGTTTCTATTCATCCTCCAAGATCTGCGTGTAGGAGGACGTGCCCGACCAAAGCCAAGCTTGCGGGGGCTCCGAGCGCTTTCAGAGGGGCATCCCAGCGGCCTCCCCGACGGCGGGGCGCGCCAGGAAGAGGCCGATCTCGGCCTGCCAAGCGCACGGCATCCCGGGACGGTCGAGGGGCCCCCCATCCCCGCGGGGAGCACGCCTCGGGGACCCCCCCTCCTCCTCCTCCTCCTTCCTCCTCCTCCTCCTCCTCCTCCTCCTCCTCCTCCTCCTCCTCCTCCCTCCTCCTCCTCCTCCCCCTCCTCCTCCTCCTCCTCCTTCTCCTCCTCCTCCTCCTCCTCCTCCTCCTCCTCCTCCTCCTCCTCCTCCTCCTAAACGGGGCGGTGACCACACCGTGCGGTGAGTCGGTGGGGATTCGGGGTCACCGCACGGTTTCGGGACTCGGGTCCCTCTCCGAGGACGTCTGGGACGACGGGGGCCTCCGGGGATTTCGAGGTCACCGCACGGTCCGTCGCCGCACCGCTTCGGGACTCCAAATCGCATTTCCAGCGAGCCGCGGGACGTCTCCAGCTGACCTCGGCACGCTTCCAAGGCCTCCAGGGGACATCCAGGAAGCGGCCCCAGCCGCCCCCACCCGCGATAGGGCGGACAAGTCCTCTCGCTGCAGTGGATCCTCCGAGGATGTCGCGGGGGTCTTGACACCTCCAGGGGCCCCACGGGCCTCCGCAAAGCTTCCACCAGATGAGCCCACAGGCTTTCACTGGATCCGCAGAGAGGACCTGCTTCATGGGACCTGGGGATTTCCCTGGCACTTCATAGAGGGTGTGCTTCCAGAGCGTAGGTGGGCTTTTGGTGGCGGAGCCTTCCAGAGCCAGAGGGTGGGCTTCCCCAGTCTCCTCCCAAGATGTTCGACGATGTGTTGTTGTTCAGCTCGCGGCCGCAGAGGTCCCGACCATTTCTCCTGGTGCAGCTTTTCGCCCCAGATCAACGTTTGATGGTCCTTGGGCCCAAGAGCGGCCTTCGAAGGCCGAAGTCGGACGGGGCCAGGACGAGGATGCATCCGTTCCAGAGCGTCCCAGAACGCTCTCCAGCATGGCTGGTTCTCCAGTGCTCCTCGTCCACGTAGGCACTTTGGGGGCCAACAGGGGGGCTTCTTTTCTTGTTTCAGTGTTCCTTCTTTCAGCAGCCCGATGAATTCAGGTGGGTCAGAGGATCGCGCTGCATCGCAGATGCATCGGCGATGCGGCTCGATGTGCAGCCCGATTGTATCCACGTCGACGTCGCCGATGCATGCATCGGCGACGTCGCCGAAGCATCGCCGATGCATCGGCGATGCGGCGCGATCCTCCGACCCCATCCACTCGGACCCCACCTGGGAGGCCTCTGGAGGTGCCCCTGTGCCGGACTGCCTTCGGAGCTGGGCGTCGCCCCTGGGTCCCAAGGGGGGTCCCAGGACTGCCCGCGGACCCAGGCGACGCAAGAAACAACTGATGGGCAGATGTTCCACCACCACTACCGGATGTAGGACGGGGGAGAAGGGAGGATGGAGATGTCGTCGTCTTCCTCCTCCTCCTCCTCCTCCTCCTCCTCCTCCTCCTCCTCCTCCTCCCCCTACATATGGTAGTGGTGGTGGAAGACCGGCCTATCAACAACGGAAGACTTTCT